ATGTTCTGGTACAGCTTCAACGGCCGCTGCTACAAGTACATCGCCACACGTATGACCTGGGCTGATGCAGAACTCCACTGTGTGTCAGAGGGAAGCAACCTGGTGTCTATCTACAGTCTGGATGAACATAATTTTGTCCAATCCCTGATCAAGAACTTCGACCCTGCTCAGGGATTTACCTGGATTGGACTCAGCGACACCCAGAAGGAAGGAGGATGGATGTGGTCTGATGGTTGCCCTGTCAAATTTACCTTTTGGAGAACAGGAGAGCCAAACAACGTTGGAGGACATGAAGACTGTGTACACACTAACCTTGGTGAAGAACGGAAATGGAATGATTATCCATGTTCTCATGCATTAACATTTGTTTGTGCATCTCGCAGAGTTTGTCCTTAGCAACCAAGACGGTTATAACTGACTGAACTCAGTAACTTTCCACCCCTTGCTCTGTGGTAATACATTAGGACTGCACTATGTACTTTCTCATCTATGATTCTACTCATGAATAAAATGATTGTTTAATGATGACAATATCGTTATGTCTCCGTCACTTACTTAACTTAGTATAGTTAATGCAGGATGTGGTTTTTCTTGGACCCATCAAGGTATTTATAATCCATTTCACAATAAAAGCTGTATTTCATATTTTCAGAATAGCTAACAAAGCTGTAATGAACAGAGTGAAAGACATGTGAAGCAATAGGAAAAGAACCGTCATAATGTTTATGATGAAGATGTTCGGGAAGAATGCATTCAGGCCTCGTATTCTCTTGTTCTTTATAACAAATAAAGAGCTACAAGTATGAGATAATACATTACATGCAAAAACATTATCCCGCTTATACCATGGTTACTTACCAGAGAAATAAAAACTAATATGGTATAAAAAATCATAGCATGGTCTGGGTGAATACTTGTTTCTGATTGGCTGAACGGTGTCAATAAAAAGGTGATAAATTACTTGCCCCGGTGATGATCATCTGAAGGGCAAGTGAAGGGCACGCCGGATTGAAAGCTTCCTAGTTTTTCTGTGGAATTCATGTCAGAAGTAGATTTGCCTGTATCCTATAGTTATAATGGGAAAGTCTATAAACTTTATTTCTATCTGTTAGAGCTCAGGCCTTTTTGTTTGTTTTATTTCAGAGTTGTGGTTCATTTTTATCCAAACATAGTCCGTGCACATTTGTCGCTGAACTATAATGTTTTCCTTTCTTTGTTTCTTTCTTTCTTTGTTTCTTTCTTTCTTTCTTTCTTTCATCCTCGTCTCTGTTATAGCTCAGCCCTATTTTGTTTAATAACTGTTGATAAATAGTAAACATTTATTGCTTGTCTGTTATTTCCTTGTTTTCATGTCAGAGACCTGGTTAATTTTTATCCAAACACTTGTCACACATGTTTCACACATGACTGTGTTGTTTTCATTCCAGTAGATAATGAGCTAATAATTTTACAATGTCCTGTAAATTGTCTTTATTTTTGGCTCATATTCAGATACTGTGTAGTTGTGTACAGGTAAAAGTGTTTGCCCAGTGGTTTTGACCTGTGACATCACACCAGCAGTGCAGACACCCTCTCTGAAGCGTATAAAAGAAAGTGGCCTTTCAGCTGTCTCTGAAAGATTCTCAATAACATCCAACGGTGAAGATCACGTTCTACGAAGACTTAAACAAAGACTCCGACACCAANGTGTACAGGTAAAAGTGTTTGCCCAGTGGTTTTGACCTGTGACATCACACCAGCAGTGCAGACACCCTCTCTGAAGCGTATAAAAGAAAGTGGCCTTTCAGCTGTCTCTGAAAGATTCTCAATAACATCCAACGGTGAAGATCACGTTCTACGAAGACTTAAACAAAGACTCCGACACCAACATGCTCTTGTTCCTGTTCATGTTCGGTCTGGCTCTGGGTGCTGTGTCTCCTTCAGATGTCCATCAGGTGAAGCTACAGCGTGGCGCCTGTCCCATGTTCTGGTACAGCTTCAACGGCCGCTGCTACAAGTACATCGCCACACGTATGACCTGGGCTGATGCAGAGCTCCACTGTGTGTCAGAGGGAGCCAACTTGGCATCTATCCACAGTCTGGATGAACATAATTTTGTCAAATCCCTGATCAAGAACTTTGACCCTGCACAGGGAAGGACCTGGATTGGACTCAGTGACACCCAGAAGGAAGGACGATGGATGTGGTCTGATGGGTCTGCAGTCAACTTTGTCTTTTGGCATGCAGCACAGCCAGACAATTGTGGAAGAACTGAACATTGTGTTCACAACAACTTTGGCACAGAATTAAAATGGAATGATCATCAGTGTTATCAGACATACACTTTTGTTTGTGCATCTCGCACAGTTTGTCCTTAGCAACCAAGAAGGTTATAACTGATTGATCTCAGTAACTTTCCACCCCTTGCTCTGTGGTAATACATTAAGACTGCACGATAACGATACAAAAGTTTGTACATATATAATTCTTCTCATGTACTGTTTGACTATGAAGATGTTTCTATGTGTTTTATGCAAGTATAAAATACTTTGGGATTTCCACCAAAAGATTTCGTCTCTGTCGCTTACTTAACTTAGTATAGTTAATGCAGGATGTGGTCTTTCTTAGACCCATCAAGGTATTTATAATCCATT